TTGAATTGTTGGGGACGTTAACACACCACTTTCCCCACTAGATAGATGAACTCAGAAAAACTCAACAGAGAAAATGGAGATCTAAAAAACTGCATAGATCTGGGCTGGGATGTAGCTCAGTGGCAAAGCGCTTGCCTAGCAAGTGCAACGTCCTGGGTTTGATCCCCAGTACCAAAAAAAAAAAAGAAAAGACACACACACAAAAAAAAAAACTGCATAGATCAACTAGATTTAACAGACATCTATGGAATATTCCACGCAGCAGCATCAGAATATACGTTTTTCTCAGCAGCACAAGGAATATTTTCCAAAATAGACCACACTTTAGGCCACAAAGCAAACTTGTCCAAATTCAGAAACATTGAAGTTATACCTTGCGTTCTCTCACACCACAAGGGAATAAAATTAGAACTCAACACCAAAAGCCACCAAAGAAAATCCTGTAACACATGGAGGCTGAACAACACACTGCTGATTCACGAGTGGGTCATGGAAGAGATGAGAAAGGAAATTCAAATGTTCATGATATTCAACAACAATGAACATGCAAATTACCAGCTTCTCTGGGTCACAGCAAAGGCAATACTCAGGGGCAAGTTTATAGCTCTGAGTTCCTACATCAACAAATTGGAGAGATCTGAAACCAACAATTTAATGAGACATCTGAGCTTTCTTGACAAAGAGGAGCAAGATAAACCCCAATCCAGTAGATGGAAAGAAATAATTAAAATTAAATCAGAATTAAATGAATTAGAATCCAAAAAATATAGAAAGAATCAACAAACCAAAGAGTTGATTCTTCAAAAAAATTAATAAAATTGACAGACCCTTAGCAAATCTTATCAGAAAAAGAAGAGAACGCACCCAAATAAATAAATGCAGAGATAAGAAACAACCAAGATACAGAACATTATAAGGGAATACTTCTCAAAATTTTATGCTAATAAGTTTGAAAACTTGGCAGAAATGGGACTTTTCCTAGCAAATACTGACATGCCAAAAATGAACCAAGATGAGTTAAACCATTTTAACAGGCGCATATCAAGGATTGACATAGAAACAGCAATAAGAGACTTCCCATCTAAGAAAAGCCCAGGACCAGATGGTTTTTTAGTGGAATTCTACAAGGCCTTCAAAACAGAGCCGACACCAATATTTCTCCAACTCTTAAATAAAATTGAAAGAGAAAGTTCACTACTGAACTCATTCTATGAAGCTATGATAACCCTCATCCAAAAACCAGGCAGGGACTCATTAAAGAGAGAGGACTGTAGACCCATTACTTTGATGAACATTGATGCAAAACTCAACAAAATTTTGGCCAGTCGTCTTAAACAACGCATCCAGAAAATCATACACCACGGTCAAACAGGATTCATTTCAGGGATGCAAAGCTGGGTCAATATTCGCAAATCAATTAATATAATTCATCACATAAGCAAGAGCAAGGATAAGAACCACATGATTATCTCAATATATGCAAAAAAAAGCATTTGAAAAGATCCAACACCCCTTTATGATGAAGGTTCTGGAAAAATTAGGAATCCATGGAACATTCCTCAATACAATAATGGCTATATATGACAAACCTACAGCCAGCATTATACTTAATGGTGAAAAACTAAAGTCATTTCCGCTTAACTCAGGAACAATACAAGGATGTCCACTATCACCACTTCTCTTCAATCTAGTATTAGAATTCTTATCTACAGCAATAAGACAAGATGCAAACATAAAGGTGATCCAAATAGGGAAAAAAGAAATAAAACTCTTCCTCTTTGCAGATGACATGATCTTGTATTTAAAGAATCCCATAGACACCACTCCCAAATTACTCAAGTTGATTTAAAACTTTGGCAAAGTAGCAGGGTATAAAATTAACCCCCCAAAATCAATGGTTTTTCTGTATGCCAACAATGAGTAAAGTGTTGCTGAAATTAGGAAAGCAACTCCATTTGTAATAGCCCCACAAAAAAATAAAATACCTAGGAATTAACTTAACCAAAGAAGTGAAGGACCTCAATGATGAAAACGTTAAAAACGAAAAAGGAAATCAAAACAGAACTTAGAAGTGGCAAAACCTCCCATGCTCCTGGATTGGAAAGATCAACATCGTGAAAATGGCAATACTTCCCAAGGCTATCTACAAATTCAATGCAACACCTATCGAAATTCCCACCTCATTCTTCAAAGAAATAGAAGAAGCAATCCAAAAAGTCATATGGAACAATAAAAGAACCCGAATAGCTAAAACTATCCTCAATAGAAAGAACAGTGCTGGAGGAATATCAATACCAAATTTCAAACTCGACTATAAAACCATAGTAATCAAAACAGCTTGCTACTGGCACAAGAACAGACCTCAGAAGCAATGAAATAGAATTGAAAACCCAGAAATGAACCTACAGACCTATAGCCATTTAATCTTCAATAAAGGGGCTAAAAAAATAGAATGGAAGAAAGACAGCCTCTTCAGTAAATGGTGCTGGCTTGGTTAACTACTTGTAGAAAACTAAAGCTAGATGCTTATATATCACGCTGCATGAGAATCAACTCCAAATGGATCAAAGACATCAGAGTCAAAGCAGACACTGAAAACATTACAGGATGGAATAGGAGAAACCCTTTGTCTCCTTGGCACAGGCTGAAATTTTCTTAATAGAGACCCAGAAAGACAACAAATTAAAGAAAGGTTGGACAAAATGGGATTACATGAAATTGTAGAGCTTCTGCATGGCAAAGGACATAGCTTGCAAGATCAATAGAAAGCCCACGGATTGGGGGAAGATCTTCACTAGCCATACAACAACGGACAAGGGTCTCATATTTAAAACATACCTGGAACTCAAAAAATTAAATCCCCCAACAACAAATCTTCAAAGAAACAATTGCCCAATAAATAAGTGGGCTAAATACTTAAAGAGAAACTTCTCTGAAGAGGAATGAAAAAGGGCCAATACATACTTTAAGAAATGCTCAACCTCCCTAGCCATAAAAGAAATGCAAATCAAAACAACATTGAGATACCACCTCGTCCCAGGTAGAATGGCTATAATCAAAACTCTAATAACAACAGATGCTGGAGGAGATGTGGACAGAAGTAAACCCTACTGCACTGTTGGTGGGAGTGTAAACTTGTTCAACCTCTTTGCAAAGGAGTATGGAAGTTCCTCAAAAGACTCCACATAGAGCTCACCTATGACCCAGCAATCCAACTTTTGGGCATTTACACAAATGTTCACAAACAAGACCACACTAAAGGTACCAGCACGATATGTTTATTGCAGCATTATTTACCATAGCTAAGATATGGAATCAACCCTGATGCCCCTCAGTAGATGAATGGATCAAGAAAATGCGACACACACACACACACACACACACACACACACAATGGAATTCTTTGCGTCCATCATAAAGAATGACATTGCCCCATTTGTTAGTACATGGAAAGACTTGGAAAAAATTATATTAAGTGAAGTAAGCCAGGCCCAAAGAAATATAGGTCCCATGGTTTTCCTTATTTCCAATAAATAGTATATGTCTGAATCAAGCAGAAAAGCTCAGATAAATTTATGTTAGGGAAATGAACCCTAAATATGTACTCAAATGCTGTTTTCTTTCATGCGATTGTTTCTAACACATTTATAAGATGATATCTTTGTTGCTTTGTATGTCCCTCCCCCATTGTATAACCCCTGCTTTCACTGTATTTGATGTTAGTATAATTTGTGGAGGGTAAGGGAAAAAACGAATCGTTTAAATAGAGATACAGGTGGAAATATTGCAACAATGAGATGTACAAGTCGTTATGTCGAAAACGAACTTTACAACTTTGGTTGTAAAGTTTGTGGGGGGTGATTGGAGGCTTGAATGGGGGGATAGGGGAAGGATGGAATGGGAAGGGGAAACAAAAGAGGATGCTACAATGCTTGATAAGAAATATACTCATTATCTTGCCCATGTAATTGTAACCCCTTTGTACAGTATTTTCACAATAAAAACAAATAATAATCTAGAAAAAAAATAATTACAATCACCATTACTATGCCAAGAAGCTAGGCTTAACACCTTTATAACTTTTAAAAACATCCTAATTGTAGAATATCATTGAAAGCAAGTTACATTATACAAATAAACTTTTTAACCATCTTTTGAAGGCCATTTTAATTTTAATTTTAACACATACAAGGGGCAGTTTTAGCAATACTAATCAGATCATCACATCACTCATTTTAACCATCATGTTTTCAGGGTCTATCTGCAGGGAAAAGGGACAGAACAAAGATGGGCAACTCAGCCCCTCCTATGGAATGTGCCTGCACCCAATCTGACTCTAAGGTTAGATGAACTGCGTTTGTGCCAGCTTGCCCTCTTTTACCATGTGTGGACTCCTCCCAGGGCCAGTCCCACCATCTATGAAGCACCCCACCCCTGGGTCGGTCCCACCATGCATGACCAGCTTAACTACACTTCTGCCTATTCAGCCTCACCCCTAAATATAGATCTTAGGTAGTCTTCTAAATTTTCCCTTTTTTGGGGGATAGGGAGGTTTGAATAAAATACAGTTTTAGACAGACAGAACATGTCATGTTTTGTAACAGTGCTAAATTGACCTTTCCATTTAAATTTTTAATATTTATCCTGAAATTTTAGCCAAGGGAACTAAATCCCAAACTGCCAAAGCATTTAAAAATATTAAAATTTAAAATAACAGATTTTCTAATTTTTACCTTAAAGAATCCTTAAAAAGCCATTTAAAACAATGTGAAAGTTTTTTAAATTTTTAGTAATGTCTAAACCTCTTAACCTTTTACATTTTAAACTTAAATTCACCCAATTTTTACAGCATGTTGACAATTTTTATCTTGAACATGTTTACAAACACATAGAAAACACACAGATCTTAAAGCGTGCATAAATCAAAATCAGTTTTACATAGATTTTTTTCAAAGTTTTTTTAACAAAAATTTAAGACAGTATTTTTTTAAACTAAGTACCTTTGTTAAGCTTCATTTTCCCAGGGCTCGCTTGTTTAGCAAGGCAATTCATCAACGGATCTTTTGAATCCCACCTGTTGGAGAAGGGCTGGTTGAAGGGGTCACCTAAAACTAAACTGGCCTGAATTTTATCCAATTTTAGACAAGAGCACTTTACAAATTGTTACATTGTCAGGACTCGCTGAAAAATCCAAACCAGGTACATAGCCTTCCACACTCTCTGCTCAGGCAGCCTCCACAAGGAGAAAATTCAGCCCAAGACCTGAAAGGAACCAGACTAGTCCAGCAACCTTACATACCTCACAGTGACGCGAGCCTAGCAGGTCTGTGGCTGAGCCCAGCCAGAGGCTAGAACTTTTATTTCCTCAGAGATGTTCAAATAAATAACAAAAATATAAATAAACACAAAAACCAAGAATCCACACTTAAAACAGGTACCAATTCTAAAACAGAACTAGACAACAGCCAAAAGCAGAGTTGGGGACTAATGGGCCCTCAGTTCATTCCTACTAGAACTGCGCCATTCTCAATCAGCAAGCTGAATTCAGAAACTGCTGAGTGAGCTGGCCACCCTCACCCAGAATTTCCCCACCTCAAAAATAGAACAGAAACGACACCAAAGTAAACAAGACAGACAAGTGGCCACAAAGACAAAATCAGATCTCCATGAATTGGGCAACATCTTACCACCAGAGGATTTCTTTTTTTCTTTTTTTTTTTTAGATTCCTGCAAATGTTGATCCAGAGGCCTTCCAAGGTGGAGGAGAATTCTCAGTCATCTTGGGGCAAGGGAAAAAAGACCCTGGAAGCCATCCCCTCAGACTGACAGTCTCCCCCCCATACTCAGACCCTCTGGGCCAAGGCCCGAGGCTAAGATCTTGCTGGTGGCACTTGGTGGTCAGTGGCAGATTCATCTGGCTTAGAGTTTTCCCTGCAGGCCCCTTTCAAAGTTATTGCTAGATCCTGCAGGTTCTCCCTTCCCCCACTGCCTCCTCTTCTAGAGAATAAGTCAACCTTTGATGTCATCCTAAAATTCCAAAATATTAAAACGGGAGAGCGGCTGAGGTGAAAGGAGCGTCTGGCCACCCCATTCGGGGGGCTCCAGGATGCCCGCTGATCCGAAAATGAAAGTTAAATGAGCAAGGAAAGGAAAGAAAGAGAGGCGCTGAATTAAAATGGCAACTACAAATGAGACAAAGAGAGCATGCATGTTGATCTCGAGCTCGAATCCACCCCTAAGCCACGGTTGTGGAGGCCAGACGAGTTCCTGTCCCATAGGATGGCGGAGGCCGATGAGTCCCTACCCGGGAGGTGGATAATCTACCCTTAACCCAGAGTAGCAGAGGCCGGACAAGTCATGGTCCAAAAGACGACAGAGTTAAGCGAGACTCCACTGGGGAAGGCTTCCCCAAGGTCCCAGGGAATTTCTTCAACTCGCCTGCTGGCTACCTTGTAGCACATCTACCAACGTTTCTTGCCAGCTCTAAAACCCTACTTGCAAATCAAACACATAACACGCAACATAAAGCAGCTGCACCCCCTCTTACCGGCTAGCTGGACGACTCGCTGATCAGGTATCTGTGTGGCTTATGGGGGGGGCTATCCCGGACAAGCTCCCACATAAAGTGCTCAGATTTCAGACGCCCCCTCTCAGACCACCAGAGACCATGATCAATGCAAACAGCAAAGAGTCATTTATTGCAAGCTGGAGCTTGGTCCTATGTGTACTTGGTAACTGGTGATGCTAAGAGGCCCCAAGCATAAAATTGACACAGCTTTTATAGTATCAAACAAACAAGTTTAGGGGGTTTCCACACAAGCAAGTTCACAAGTTCAGGGGGTTTATGTCCACCCTGATCACACTTCCCTTTTTCAGCTGGAACACCTGGGCAACTGTTCTGTTCTTTAAAGGTGGGCAGGGTTGGTGGCCACCTGCGGTTTTTCTGAGAACTATTTTTCTCTTTGGCAGCACAGCTCTCTTTGGGGGTTACTTTGAGGGCAGCACAGCTCATGGGGCTTGATGTTAAAATGGAATTACTTTAGCTCTTCAGTTAGGTCCTGAGTTCAAACACCAGGAATGGTGTATGCACACACACACACACACACACACACACACACACACACACACACCACATGGAGGCACCTTTGCCAATAATATATCATTCCATTATGTTCAGCTCCCTAATTGTCTGCCAGAAGGACTCTTGAATTAATTGTAGCAGTTTGTTTCAACATGGAAATATAGTCTTACAAAGACAGCATGAGTGCAGGGAACTTGGCCTGCCACAGAAGGTGGCACAAATGAAGGTTTCCTATCAAAACAGACCACTGGGGAGAGTGATAGCTTGGGGGTACAAACAGGCCTTTTTCTCCTGACCTTCAGAACCTGCGCACATTCATCCTCATTAATTTGCCCGGATGAATTGTTTGTTATGCAGCTTTACAGAAGTGAAACTTTTTGTCTGCCTGTTCCAACAATGAAGCCGACTTCCTCCGGCAGCCTGGGGTATGGAGACCCCTTAGGCTACACTGGGAACACTGAGGGAGCCCCGAAACATGGATTGTCTTGAAAGCACTCTGTGCTATGAAATCATTCTATTCAAAGCAAATTTCCTAGCTGGGTGCCGTTCTTCATAGCAACTCTGGATCTTCACTGACACAAATGCATGCATACATACACAGACACATGGAGTTACTGGCTCTTTTTTTTGTGGCAGGTCCTGGGCTTGAACTGTGAGCCTAGACATTTTCCCTGAGCTCCTTTTGCTCAAGGAAACATTTTATTGTATCTTAAACCATGATTACCCTAGGCTGTGGTGCAACTATTACACCCACAGATGATCCAGGGATCCTAGGACCAGAGTTCAACTCCCAGCACTGGCAAAAATACATTAAACCAACAAAAATGGAGGAGGAAATGTTACAGGAAATGTTACACAACAGTTTTTACTTTTGTTTCCTTAGCACTGTGACCCTCCTGAGTCTCAATGACTTGGCTTGAAAATTGTATGTGACCTTGCATGGATGATGGCTGAGGGGCTGTCAGTGAAGCCTGAGCCAAACCAGACACCTAGGCCCTGAGATCGATCCTAGGACTGCCACCTACACACAGCTGAAGATCCTAGGAAACTCATTCCTATCTATAGGAACATTAATAGAATATTTGAAATTTATTAATTGAATTACTAACTAGCTAGTCATTCCAGTATAAGATTGTATGCAATAAATATAGGTCATTGATTAATTAATACTTTGTTAATTCTTCTACCATGATAATTGGAAGCATAATTTTATACCAAATAATTGGTAGTAATAGAATATATAAAAATAAGGTACAGACAACACTCTTTATATTGGGTTATACACTAGATTCTACATAAATGTCTATCTGTCTCTCTCTGTATATATTTATAGATGCATATACATATGTAAATACACACACACATGCACGCACACACACAAACAAACACACACACACACTGCAATCTAAATATCTACCTGTTTATATATTGGCCATTCCTAGGGCTTGATCTCAGGTCCTCAAATTGGCCTGCCAACTTCACTTGCATCAGACTGGTTTGCTAACATTTAACCATTCATGAAGTGGGCCTGCTAGGCCCTGAGTTCAAGTCAGAGAATTGCCAAAAACTTAATCCTGTTCGAAAAGCCAATTGTTCCACTTGTTTTCTGTATCGATGAAAGTCCTGGGTCTCAGGAATGATGTAGAATACATAGGCAAAGCTTTGTCTCATGTAATAGGATGCAAAATGTTATATGTGTAATCATGCTCACTCTCAAATACATAAGAAATAAAACACAAAATAAAATGAATACACTAACTGCAATATGCAATAAACATGTGTATGTAAATATGAATCATGTATTTCAAATATATACGAATATTATTTTTTCAAGTGCTAGGATTTGAATTCAGGCCCTGGGAACAGGCCTGACTTTCTTGTCTTCCAGCCCGGTGATCTTTCCATCCCCCACAGTGCTACAGATTTACCCACATCCTGAGTTCAAATCCCAGGCCTGGCAAAAACAATGGCCTGAATTCCAGGCCAAGGAGCCTCATAATATTTTAAATATTAAAATATTTTAAATATGTATGTATGCATGTATTTTTATTTTCTCAAGCACAGGGCTTGATCTCAGGTAGTGGCAATTTTGCCTCAGCATTGATCACTCTAGGCTGGGGTGCAACCACTGGACCCAAAGCCAAACCTGGGTTCCTGGGCCTCAAATGCTGACAGGAAAACAATAAGAAATAATGCGACGCAGAAAAATAAAAACTGACAACTTACCAGTTTTACATTTGTTTTCTTTGCAAAGTGACAGTTCTGGGACTGAATGACACGGCTGCAAAATGTTGGTAACCTGGCATTGCTGAAAGCTGGTGGGCCACCAGGGGAGCCTTAGGCCAACACAGCAACATAGGCCATGTGTTTGAAGCACAGTCCTGACCCCTACCAATGGAGGGAGATACTAAGAGTCTCGTTCCTATTCATAGGATTACCGATGGAAGATTATGAATGGCAAAGTTGAATTAGTTGTTTCTGAATACTACTATACAATTAGATGGAGTGATTTTAGGTGACCAATGGATTTTAATGAATATTTTTGACACATTCAAAGAATAGTATTAATTACATGGATGCAATAGTTTTGGGACAGTTGTTGCTTTATTAATAATTCATTAAGGATGAAAACAAGAATTCTAATTACATGGAGGCATAATAAATACCCAAGAATTGGTAGGAATGCAGTCTATATACAGGAATAATGTATAGACATCACTGGCACTCTATAAAGATCTATATTTACTTGTGTACTACCATCTGCATGTCAATCTGTTCTTATTTTGTCAACCCCTGGGGCTCAATCTCAGGTGCTAGAAATGCTTGTTAGCTCAATATGCCCCAGGCTGGCGTGCTGACACTCACCCATTCATGAATTGGGACTTATAGGCTTTGAGTTCTAATGCCAGCACTCACAAAAATTGAATCGTGGAGTAAGAATCCCATGGTGACACATGTTTTCTGATTCTTTGAAAGTCCTGGGTGTAAGGTATGAAGTTACATACATAGGCAAATCTATATCTTATGTAATATATGGAGTAAATATTTCATGTGTAATAACAGTCAATAAAATAAATAGTAAATAAATTAATAAAAAATAAAACGAATAACTACACTAAGTGCAATATGTGGTCAACATATGGGGCTCGATCTCAGGGCCTGGGAACTGCCTGGCCGGTGAATTGGCTAGAGGCTTCTGTGCTGACAGTCACCCATTCATGAATTGAGCCTTCTAGGCCCTGAATTTAGATCCCAGTACTGCCAAAAATGTAATCGAGGAGGAAGAAGCCGAGCGTCACACATGTTTTCTTTTCTTTTAAAGTGCTCAGTGACAGGATGTATAATTCAGATGCAAATATATATGCTATGTAATAGGATGCCATAAATGTAAAAAATGTCATTGGTGGAAGAATTGTCACTACAATAAATGAAAAACAGATTGAATTATTAGTGAATCATTCTAGGATAAAATTAGACACACTAATTATAGGACATGGATTAAGTTTAATATTTTGTTAAGCATTAATAGAAAGAAAATTGCATGGAAACATAAATACCTAATAATTGGTAGTAACACATGATGCATAATTTAATTATATAGACATCTGTCGCATTCTATAAAATATGTAATTTATTTACAGATGTATGTACTTATAATTTTAATTAATGCTTTATTAATTGTTAACTGAGACACATGATTAAATGGAGACATAACTTAATGCCTAAAAATTGGTAGAATATTATCTATAAATTAATAATGTACAGACATCTTTTGTGTATAGAAAATTATACACAGCAACCTCTATCTATTTATAACTCTTTCACTCCTGGGGCTTGTTGGTTAAGTGCTTGACTAGTAAGCACGAAACCCTGGGTTCGAACCCTCAGTGCCACATAAAAAGTAAATCTAGAAGTTCTGCTGTCTTTCAATCAACTGAGTGCTAGCCTTGAGCACAAACACTTAGGGACAGTGTCAAAGCCCTTACTCAAGTCCTAGGACTGCCAAAAAACAACAAAAAAAAAAGGTAGAATATACTCACTGCAACTATAGAAGGATAGGACATCAAATACCTCATCACAGAGAAAGCTAGGAGTCTGGTGCTGACAGCTGTCACCTAACCTGACTTAGCCAGATGTAAACTGCTGTAACCCAGCTCCATGGGTTACCCCCATCATTTTGGCTTACCCTGGCTTACCCCAGACATCTTGGCTGCTTGGGGGCTTTAAATCCTGGCAGGAAGTCTGCTAGAATCTTTGAAATATGGCTTGAAATGGTAGAGCACTAGCCTTGAGCAAATGTTATTAGAATAGTATCCCCGTGTTTTGAGCTCAAGCGCCATAACTAACCTCCCCCAAAATAAAAACACCCCACTAAACCAATAGATACGAAATGATCCTCGAAGAATGTGAAACCACCTTAATTCTAATTATAGCTTGTGGAACAGAGCTTTGTGCTGAGTCCTCCATAGGGTGATCTGTGCTGAGTCCTGCACATGCCATGGTGCTACATGCTGAGTCCTTCACAAGGTAAAGTGTGCTGAGTCCTGCATTGGGTGCTGGGTGCTGAGACTCTCACAGGATGCTGTGTGCTGAGTCATGCAAAGAGTGCCATGTGCAGTGTCTTTCACAGGGTACATTCTTTCAACTTGTCCTTGTAAGAGCTCCAT